ATTGTGTTGTATCTGAGTGACTTTGTGTTATTTCAGTTGTTTATGTGTCCTTGAACACGTTCTTTCAATAATTTTGCTTCTCAGAGTGAATTAAGATAACTAAAATGTTATGTCACAGTATCAGTTGTCCTATTATTTAGCTAGCCTATATTTTGGGTTTTATTTGCTATTGTCAACATAGTTAATAAAGATTTGTCTACAACTTAGTAATAGCTTTAAAGACAGTGAACATTTGTAGTTGGTGTTGAACTTGTGATTAGTTGTTGCAACGTGCAATCCGCATAGAAGTAAAGACTTTACTTTTATAAAGAGCCTTATTTATGTTCTAGTATATAAATATAGGTATATATTCACTGAGTTCTATTTGGGCTTCACTTGAATAACAATTAGTGAGCTGCAGTTAAAGTTTTCTATTAAATACTGCAATGCCGGGCGTAATTTCTTTTAATTACCAGCTCCAGTAAAGTATAAGCATTACCCTAAAGTTTAAAGATATTTTAAGTGAGGACTGCTGGTACTTATGTGCACCGAAATGAGTGTTATGATTAGTATAATGTGAGTCAACACGTTCTGATGTTGTCTTATCCCTCTTTACTATTTTTAGAGCGAAATCTTAAGTTCAGTTTGTTTGAAACTTCAGTTTGATTGCTCTAATGCCTCATTCAATCTGTTCAGGGTTAGTGATGAGGAGTAGAATTGTCCGAAACTAGTATAGCCCAATAAAGCATGTTGATCAAGGTGTAGATTGAACTGGACCTCCCTTTGAACTTAGACTTCGAGATAAAACAATTTTCGGAATAATAAGTTTATTTATTATGAAACTAATCTGTGTTATCATAAACTATCTTGAGCAAATTGTGCAAGGTGATTACCACTTTTTTCATTCAGTTTTATGAAGTGTATAACTTTTTTCTTGTCTCCTTCAGATAACTCACTGTTTTAACATGGAGCTTTACGATCATATCATATTTCAAAGCCAGTGGCTGGGTGTTTAAAGTTTTTAGCACATACAGTTAGATTTTGATATCACGAAAACCTTAAGATTATTAAACTTATAACTTCAAGATGAAAAATATTATAGGAAGATGTGAGCGCTTAAGCCCACAACAGTTATGGGAAGGTGACTCAAGGTACTCAAGCCCACAACAGTTGTGGGAAGGTGACTCAAGGTACTCAAGCCCACAACAGTTGTGGGAAGATGACTCAAAGTGCTCAAGCCCACAACAGTTGTGGGAAGGTGACTCAAGGTACTCAAGCCCACAAAAGTTGTGAGAAGGTGACTCAAGGTACTCAAGCCCACAACAGTTGTGGGAAGGTGACTCAAGGTACTCAAGCCCACAACAGTTGTGGGAAGGTGACTCAAGGTGCTCAAGCCCACAACAGTTCTGGGAAG